TCCTGATCGTTTATCCAGTCTTTCCATTTCCAGCATCGCCTCATTCTGTGTTTTCTTTATTGTGTCTAATTCAGCTTTCATGCTTTGAACTGTTTCAAGAGCTTCCTTCACTTGTTTGGTTGTTTTATATTGGGTTTCTTTAGCTTCTTTAAGAGATTTATTTCTTGAATTTTTTGGTTTGTCTTTTCCTCCATTTCGTGTAATTTTTTGCTTGCTTTTTCTTCTATTTCTTTAAGGGATTTTCTTGTTTCCTCTTTGAAGGTCTCTATCATCTTGCTGAGATAATTTTTGAGGTCCATCTCTTCTTCATGCACTATGTTGGGCTTTTCAGGTCTTGCTGGAGTGGAGTCCTTAGATTCTGGTGGTGTCATATTGGTCTTTCTGTTGTTGAGCGAGTTCTTATTATGTTCTTCTCATATCTTTTTCCAGTGAGTGCAGGTAGGATCTCTCTATCTCCTCTTGTTACGCTGTAGTGTGTGTGGGCCAGGAATTCAATGTCCGAAGCTCTGGATGGTCTTGCCTCTCCTCGTAGTCTACTTACTCTGAAGGAGTTAGGCCTCCATAGGGATCAGGTGTGTTGGGGTGGGACAGGAAGTAAGAGTGGGGTGTTTCCAGGCTCTGGGGGTTCCTCACTGCCTGGGCAGGTCTACCCCAAGCAGGAGCAGGCCCGGGGAGATTGGGATGGATGGGGCTTTGATAGGGAGTTGGGTAAGAGTGGTGGATCACTCACCTCCTGGCGGATCGGTTGCCAGGAACAGAAGGAAGAGTGGCCTGTACCCAGATTCAGGGAGCTCCTCCCTGCCTGGGCGTGTCTGTTTTAAGCAGGGACAAGCCTGGAGGGATCTGGGTGAATGGCGCTTAGGACAGGAGTTGGGTAAAAGCAGGGGGGCGCTCACCTGGTCTGTGATGAGTCGGCAGAAAGGGAAGGAAGAGTGGCCTGTACCCAGATTCAGGGAGCTCCTCCCTGCCTGGGGGCGTGTCTGGTTTGTGATGAGTCGGCAGAAAGGCGCTTTTATGGTTATTAAGGGGTAGAGATGCGGCAGAGTCTTGGTGATAGACTAGTTCAAAATCTAGTGTTCCTAAACAAATTGTACTCAACACTTAACCTTTGGCAAAAGTCTCAAGTCAGTTTGGCCATGAGCAACCCTTCTAGCCTACAGAGTATTTGTTTGTATGAGCATATCCATCAATATTTGCAGTATTTGAAATTAAACCTTAAGGAAATAATTTAAGCCCAAGAAGGGTTGGGTACAATGTGCTCTAACAGTGCTTTTCTGAAGTCCCAGCTACTTATGAGGCTGAGGCAGGAGGATCTCTTGAACCTAAGGGTTCAAGGTGGCCAGCTCGAGTGATGAAGCAGGACTTTATCTAAAAACATAAATTAATATGAACACAAAATTAGATATAATCTGTTTGCTTTAAAAGTCACAGTGTCATCATCATACATCATACGAAAATGGGAAAATTAGAATTGAATTGGACAAAATAATTCTTAATATTAGTGGGAAATCCTTTTCATTTTGTGAATTCTCTCAAATCGAGAATGGTGCGAGGACCAGAGTCCCCAGAGCACACACTGATTTTTCAAAATGGTTTTTACTCTTGGCTGTTTGGCCTTTGTGAGGGTTTTTATTCTCTCTGCCTGTTAGTCCCTCCTGTCCTTGTTCCTGCCTCACTATTGGCCGTTCCACCCATTATTGTGACCTCCAGGTGTTTTGGACAGGTGCAGTAACACAGCTTCACAGAATTAAACAAATGCAGCATGAACAAAAGTCACGCACCTTAAAATAATATTCTACCACACACTGACAGCTGTTGCTTTTTTTGTGTGTTAGGTCTGAGTTTACCTTAAGACCCTTCTGTTTTCACATTTATAAAATAGCTAATACTGTATCCATCTTTCTGTTGTAAAGACTAACTGTGGGTATGTAAAGCATGTTAAATGCTTAGCACAGTGCTCACTGCATCTTTGTGAATGCGCAAGTTGTTCTTGGGTCTCAATGGCTTAAGCTTTCTGGATCAGCAACTTGAAAGAAAATCAGACGTTAGCTTTCTGTGGAGCTTTTGATTTAAGTGGGTTGTTAGAGTTTTTCTGACCAACACCTGCTGTCTAAAACAAACACTGTAAGTGCTGACATGGAAGCTTCATCCATATACATATATAGTATATACATGTTTGCTTTCTGGTTTTAGTATTTTTTCACACTTTTGAATGAAGTATTATTCTAACTAATGGATGAAGACTTTACTGCCTTAAGGACCAACCTTCACACTTGGCCACTTACTCAACAAGGGTATTTTTGCAATACAGTCATATCCTAAGGACTTTAGATTATATGCCTATGTAATAAGTAATCCCTAATTGCTTTCCCCTGGCCCATTGGTGGCTTCTTGGGTTCTTAGAACCCTGTAGGTTGGAGTATTTGGGTTACGGCAGGAAAATGAAGAGTGGAAAGAGAGGTATAAATTGAGTGGAATTAGTGACAGGAAAGGTCCACCATCTGCTTCACCCCCAGACCCCTAACACTGCCAGGGGAAGCTACATTGTAGAATGTTGCCAAGAGCCTGGGATGAGAGCAAAGAATAAAATGTATCTCTTCATCAAACTGATATTCTGTTGACAGAGCACTGTATAAAGCAGATAGAAATCCCTGCCCTTACAGAGCATAATTATCCTAGTGTAGAAGCTAACAGACAGCAACTTAAAATATAGTATGTGGAACGTCTTCCAGGCCCTTCAGAGAGAACAGCAGGGATGGAGAATAAGGAATTCAGTTAATTTTGTAGGTTATTTTGTTATTTAAATTATAGTTCACTTATTATTGATGTATCTGTGGGAAATATATTCCAAGTCTAGTAGCCGATAGTATGAATGAATCCTTGGCAGCATATTGTGTTTCCTGCATATGTATATATGTGGTGAATTTTATATAAGATATTGGCAACAGAGCTAACAAAAACAATCATAGCAATATATCTTAATAAATTACTTGACAGATTTCCAAAATTCCCCAATTAATTTTTTTGCCACAATTGAATGAGAGTAAGAAAATGGCAGAAAGTGAAAGCAGCCAGCACAGCCTGCTGCACTGCCAAGTGCCAGTGCCTAATTGTTGTTTGGATTCGGGATTGCTAACCTTTCTTTCTTTCCTTTCTTTCTTCCTTCCTTTCTTTCTCCCTTTCTTTCTCCCTGCCTCTCTTTCTCTCTCTTTCTTTCCTTCTTTTTAAAGGTTCGGCTCTATGAGCTAGTAAATCCACTAAGAAAGGAGATCTCTGAACTACAAGTGAAAAAGAATGAACTATCTGAAGAACTGAGTACGAACAAAGGCCAACTGAAGCAGCTGACAGAGGTTTGTTTGATTTCTAGTACTTTTGCAAAGACATTGGAGCTTTTCCACGAGGCACTTGTCACCATTTGTAGTAAGAAGCATTGGAGTGATAGCATCGCGCTTAGGATGTGAACTGCTGCAGCTCCTAGTGAGCCATAAGCAGGAGCTGACACGATAAATATGCTTTTAACTTGTTATCCACAGGATAGCATTTTCTGTAGCAACTCATTTTCATAAGCAAATTCTTTTGAGATCATAAAACCAGCCATTTCTGAATGTTCTAGTGCAATAAATATGCACACACAGTTTATCATTTCTCTAGCTTTAATACATAAAATGTAGGCTGGGTATGTATGCCATTGTAAGAAGAAAAAGAACGTTTGACTTTTTTTATTAGAGACTCATGGGTTCTGCTTTGGCAGGACAGTCCCCATTACTGCTGACGTGTGAGGATTCATGGCACCCCATGCATGTTTAGAAGTATCTTAATCTGGTCAATGAATTATAAGGCTATCATTGCTTACAACTCTTCATTTACAGAAGGGCACACTGATCGTTAGTTTGTTTATAACATTGACCAAATATGGCAGAATGCCATCATGTACTTATAATCAGCTAAATAAAAAATAGTGGTAGATTGATTCATTGTATTATATAACAGCTAAAGGGGTGGGGGATGCTGTTTTCTCCAAAAAGTTCATCAAACTAGAAGGAAAATAAGCTTATAGTTTATAAGTAGAGTCTACGGCACTTGTTCATTATAGGTTAGCCTTGTCCATGGTATGAAAGCAAGCTACTGTCAATGTGTCAGTCATTACTCATCAAATGCAATTAGTTCTACTGAACATGAGTACTGATACTAGTGTTTACCCTGTATGTCATTAATGTCCATGACGCTGTTCTAAGTGCCAGCAACAGTGAGAGACAGGAACTGCCCTCAGAGAGGTTAAGTTCTAGTACACTAGATTTAAGTGTCGGATTTGAATAGTCTTGTTTATTCTGTGATCTTGACCAAGTCATTTAACATTTCTTTTCAAGTGAAGAAAAATAGTTTCTTCTTTTCTTTCATTGGCTAACCCATGTTTCTATTTGATAGTAAAATGTTATCTTCACAAAGTTTTGTACAAATATATATGTGATGTCCTATTTCAAGGGCAGGCTTTTCAATGCTCTATTACCCAAAAGTACATCATTACATTTAGTATATATTTTCAGTGCTATACTTTTGGCACTTGGAGCAGTAGGGAAGGGTGTAGCCTGGTCCCAGCCTGATCTCTATGTCCTGCTGCATAAGCATGTGGCATCTTCAGCAAGGTAAGGTCTCTTACCATCTAGATCTGGTGACCAGCAACAGTCGTGGCAACCGCCTAGATTGTTTTAGGTTCTGTGGCCAGCTACTCATTGGGAGGTAGCACTGGCATTGTTGCTTAGTAACTGGTGGCTTCTGGATGCAGCTTTATCCATCCATATGTAGTGCCTCCAATCAAAGTCATTCTGTTTTAATTTTTTGATTACTTTATCAAATATCAGACATCCTTATGGCATTTTCTTTGTTTCTAGCTCCTATACTCCCTTAATTCCCCTTTCTTCTTCCATTTCACTTTCTTTCTGCTGCCACCCACATGGCCCCTTTCTACTTTCCTTGCCTCTACACACGCTCATTCCCAGGCAAGTGCAGGTATATAAGTTAGAAGCTAGTATTTGCGTGAGAGAAAACACAGTGTTGGTCTTTGTGTATGTGAGCTACTTCACTTAATATTTTCCAGTTCCATTCTTTTTTTTTTGTAAATTTCATTATTTCATTATGTATATATTCCACACTTTATTATCCAGTCATCAGTTGATAGTTATCTAGGCTGATTCTGTATCCTTATTATTGTGAATAGATCACTAATACACGTGTATGTGCAAGTGTCTTTGTGGTAAGGTACAGAATACTTTTGGCATATGTCTAGGTAAGGTAGAAGTTGTAGTTTTAGCTTTGTATAGAACCTCCACACTGATTTCCGAAGTGCTGCACCAGTTTGCATTCCCAACAACAATGAATATGGGGTCCCCTTCCTCTATATCCTCATCAGCATTGGATGCCACTTATTTTCTTGCTGATGACCATTCTAACTGGGGAAAGATGGAATCTCAAAGTAGTTTTAATTTTATTTCCAGGATTGCCAAGGATGTTGAGCATTTTTTAAAAAGTACTTGTTGTCCAATAATAGTAATTTTATTAGAAAAACAAGGTAATTTATATCTGCCCTCATTTGCTTTCTGTTGTTGTGATAAACACTATGACCTAAGCAACTTGGGGAGGAAAGGGTTTCTTTCATTTTACACAGTTTCCTCATCTCAGGAAACGAGGGCAGAAGTTCAGGCGAGAACCTGGAGGCAGGAACTGAAGCAGAAACTAGGGAGCAGTGCTGCTTAGCGGCTTGTTCCGAGGTCATCGTCATCTGGCTTTCTTCTATAGGACTGATCCACCTGCCAAGAGATGCAAGCTAGCCTGGAACCTCATATCAATTAATGATCAAGAAAATCCCTCCTGGCCAATCTAACAGAAGCAGTTCCTCAGCTGAGATTCCTCCATCCACACTGTGTCAGTTGACAACCACCACTAGCCATCACAATATCCTATTAGTTAGAATTTGAATTATGTGATTTTTAAACAAAAAAGTGAGATTTAATATAAAAATCAAGTGAGATTATCAGTAAGTAAGGACTGAAGAGAACATTGTGATCTTTAAGGGAAGGTGTTAAGATCTGGCTTACTGGAGAGTCAGCTGGAGATGGTAGGTTCTGGGATTGAATTAATGAGAAGCATTGTCTTTAGTACTTAGTCATCAGCTCCTAGTTTAAAAAAGTACTAAATGAAGTGGTCAGTTTTTCAGTTGGATATCTCTGATTTCTTTTCTTCTTGAAATGTTTTCATTTTGGTGCTCTGGTGGCATTTCATATTCTTCTCTTCAGTATTAGGGTATTATACATATACACAGAGGTGTGTAATGAAGACACAGAACTGCCCATCAAATACAAATGGAATAGCAAAACCTTTGCTTTTCTAGAGATGAATCATTTAAATTGTCTTTACCACCACAAAAGTAAATATTCCTTTTTACTTTTTTGAAACAAAGTATGGTTTTCTTCCTTAAGTAATTCAGGAGAGAAACAAGTCTTTGCTCATCTATTGCAAGGGTTGAGCCCCTGTAATGAAAAACCAGGTTAACAAAAGAAGAGCACTACAGGCTCGTTTAGCATCAGTTTAATGGAACATCACAATGAAGGCCCATAGAAAACTACTTTGGAGGACAATGGAGGACAAGGGCTGTGATTTAATGGCAGTGACCTGGGCAGGGGAGGGGTGGAGATGGAGGACACCTGGCCAGGCCTCTTGGTTCAGATTCTCAGCTGCTATTTAGATATACCCCTGACTTGGACTTATTTGGAGGAGGAGAGGAGAAAGTCAGAGAGTGACAGCCTAGGTCCCGTGGACTGCTTGTCCTAGTGACTTCCTAGGTCCTGTGGCCTGCTGCTAGACAGAGGGTGCAAAGCAGAGATCTTACTGTGTATCTACTTCTCTTGAAAGGCACCCTTCTGCTTCAGATAGTCTGTATTGCTACCTATCATACTCCAAGTTCCCATACAACAGGCAAAGAAATTGTTTTCTTTTAATCAGTAAGGGATTTGGGGCTTCAGAGTTATAGGACAGAAAAATTCTGCAGGTACGCTTGAACACTTCAAAATGGCTAGCATGGCTGGGTCAATGTGAAATGCATCTTTACTACAAATTTTTACAGTGTCAGCATTTAGTAAAAAATTTGGAAACCTACCATTGGGGTTTTGAACAATTTATATACTTAATTCTGTATTTTTATACACACATATTGCTTCAGTGAATCTCATACTCATTTAAATAACTGGTGGCATTCCCCAGAGGCTTACACTATTCACTAATCCTAATTCTCATACCTTACATAAACTCAGATAAGACTTGGTTTACTCGTTACAGTTCCTTGGTGTGGTCCTTAAAAAGACACATCTGCCTTTGCTCTCTCTGTCCCTGAGAACCACTTTGTTTCCGTGGTTTTGATTACTTTAGATGAGTGGAGTTCTGCAGCGTTAATATTTATCTCACTTAGCGTACAGTCAGAGTCATCCGTGTTTTAATGCAATTTCCTTTTTGAAGATCCTTACTGTCATGTGCATGTGTCATGTGTCTTTATTCATCTTCAGTGCACATCTGATTAAATCTCTTGACAATATCTGACAGATGTTTGGGAAGAACTGCTGCTATCTTGATTTCTGGGGGAATTGCTTTTCTCCTTAGCAGTTGAAGGATAAGAACAAAATATACAAAAGCAAAGGCTCTCAATGAAAATACAAGCATTCTCTAGAGATAACTGTTGTCTAGTGTTATTTAATATTTCATTCTTTAATTTATGATACTGATGAGGAAGAACAAATTACAGTTTCAGGCTTGCTCCTGGCAAGGTTTGTCTGAGCGTGGAGTACCAAACTAGTGAGGGAAGTTAAACTATTTCAGATTATGCCTTGTAGGTTCTTCTTTTTTATGTAAGATGTCAGTTCACATAGCCAAATTAGCATCTGCAAAACTTGCCACCAACCTAGAGATTGTAAAATTTTCACCTTATTATAGAAATTTCAAAGTATAAATACTATTCGCTGACTTCTCACTGCTAATACTTGATATAATCAAATTATAAAAAAAATGGTTTATTTTGGCCCACAGTTTTTAGTAGTTTTAGTCTGTTGTGGATTGGCCCTGTTGTTTAGGGGGCTGGTATAAGATTACACGCCATGATTGGGAGTGCATAGCAGAAGGAAACATCTCAGTTCATGAAACAGAGAGGGGACAGAGCCAGATCCCCCAATACCTGGAGCATACCTCCTGGAGACCTCCCATGAGAGAGAACCTTAAAGGTCTCCATCACTTGCCAGTCTAAGCCAAGTTCAGACCCGACTGTGCCTAACATGTGGTTCTTTGATGCACACTCAGAATCCTAATGGTA